GTTAATAATAATGTTAGTGAAAACAATAATGATAATAATAACAAACTTAACAGTATTAGAAATGAAAACTATGTATCACAAAAAAACAAGGAATGGGGTAAATGTTAGAGGTAATTGACTCTATGTGTACTAAGTATTTTGATGCCACCTGCGTATGAATAAAATTGACCAAAACCACGAGGTGCACCGGTAGGTTAAAACAATGAAAAGCAGGACCTACATATCACTACCATGATAATGACTAATGTGTGTACAATTTGTAGACCACTCAGGGATTACCACAAATATGGAAACAGTGCAGAAAATACTTGGTGTAGGGTTGTTGGTTTCTCTCCAAATTACAGAAGGCACACAGGCCATTGTGATTTCTTGTTGAGATTTATTTATTTGGAAACTTTTTCATTTTCACTTCAGGACAAACATGTAAGAAAAAAGTCAGTGTCATTAGTCTGCTAGTTTCATGTATTGTTTACTTTGTCATACATACATGTCCAAAACTGAAATTTTACAAGAATGTCTGAGCAAAATCTGAGCTCGTAAACTGGTACATGCTTTCAGATATTAAAGTGAAAGAGCAAAGCTTGGAGAACCTCCTAAGGGGACGCAAGATCTTCGAACCCCCTCACTACATGAGAGTACATCAAGCGGCCCAACAGCTGTTAACAATTCTGCAGAGGCACAGTAACAACCCTGCAACGAGTGGAAAAGATCCAGTGGGCGAGAATGAGATGCAGTTGACTGAGAATACCCAGTGTGTTGGCATTGTGAGGGTTGGGACTAGTTCACAAAGGATCATGAGAGGAACATTGAAAGGTGAGGTTGATCATTCTGTGTGTCTTTGTTGAATTCTTTAGCTGTTTGTTGTTGGTGAACATTTTCGGGAGTAGTTTTATTATATTTTCTATGATTTGCATATTTATTTATGTCTAAGTATATTTGAGTTCTTAATATGTCTCTGATAACCTCTTCATTTCTGTGGAATGTTCTGTCATTCATCTTTTCATTGTTGAAACTTATTAGTTTACTTACCTAGATAAAATGTGTGTGTGTGTGTGTGTGTGTGTGTGTGTGTGTGTGTGTGTGTGTGTGTGTGTGTGTGTGTGTGTGTGTGTGTGTGTGTGTGTGTGTGTGTGTGTGTGTGTGTGTGTGTGTGTGTGTGTGTGTGTGTGTGTGTGTGTGTGTGTGTGTGTGTGTGTGTGTGTGTGTGTGTGTGTGTGTAAGTTCACAAACTAGAAACTTGCAGTACAATGTTTCTTCAGTAATCATGAATTCACATATCCTTGACCAAAGCCTATCTTGTGGAAATTTTGATATAGTATAAAATATTCTGTGACTGATTAGTCTCAGGCTGTGTACTTCTTAACCCATTGGATCTGGCACTAGTCTAACTTGAGCAGCCATTGGGTGTGCACACAAACACTCCTGTGCAGTAACAATGTTCCATGTCTCCCATTAGCTATGGTATTTTCTCTTTTTCTGTAAGAGCTTCTTTGCCATTTTCCAATGTCTATTTTTGTCATTTGAATTGCTTGAAAGGTAGTTATAGACTGTTTTCCTTGTATAGACTCTAGATCATATCTCTAGGTAGTCCATGACTCAGTAACATTTTTTTAAATTTGTGTACTTTTTTCATGTTTCATAATCTTCAATTTTCTCTAATATAACCTGCATCCCCAGCACACAACCAGGAATAGATAGCAAGTCATTCCTATCACCCCAGCCTTCAGCCGAAATTCTCATGACAGCATGTTCACATCACACAGCCCTCAAGCCAAATATTTTCAAAACATGGTGGTCACATCATCCGGATGATAGGGGTTAATATGAGGCTAATATCTCCCAGTAAACCCCTAGGGCTTATTGTCTCACTTTCCTGTTAATTTGTTACTCTGTGTCCAGCTTTGATCAGTGTGGGCCCACTTTGTTCTTTGTTAATTTGTTATCTTGATAATGCCCACAAAGAGAAAAGGATACTGGCAGTTCATCAAAAAGCCATGAAGTGCTAGATTTACCTGCATAATTCATGATAAGTGGTTAGTTAAGATAGAAAAATCTTTTAGCCCATTCGTGCCGGGAAAAATTAACAAAAAATGGGGAAAATGCTGTGCTCATTTTTTTTTTTTTTTTTTTTTTTTTTTTTTTGCTATGAATATCGATGGTTATTTTCATTATAAACATCATAATTACTCTAATGTTATAAACATTAGTAACAGCAAAATAAGATAACATAAAAAAAAATTGTAAATTAAAGAAAAGGGTAAACAGGCGAGACAGGCAGTACAAGTATAAGTGTAGCCATTTATGTGTGTAAACAATTAAACAAGTAAACTTACAGTGGGGACGTCACGTATACGTGACACCCGGCGCGAATAGGTTAATTTGTGCACTGAAGACATGAAAAAAAGCATGCACCAGTAGGTGGTAAAGAACAGACAGCATTGAGCCCATAATTATTTCATTTTATTACTAGTATTTGTTTGTTGTTTTATCTTATGTAATTTATAAATGAATTTTTTTTTTATGCATATTCATGTATACATAAAACATATTATTTATGGTGTTTGTGGCAGGTATTACAACATAATCTCTAGTAATATATAAGCAATATTATATTATCAGTCCAATATATTTGTGTCTGTAATAGAGATTTTTTTCACCTCAGAGCTTGCAGAATCTGATCTTGGGGAGCCACTGCATTCTTTGATCATCTGCGGGGAGTGTCATCCCATAGAGGAAGATGCTATGACAAAGCTGGCCGCATATTTTAACGGCCAACAGACTGAGCCTCGCAATAGTACCAGTAAAAGAGGTGTCTTCCATCTCATTGGATTGGGACTTGGTCAGCCTGGTTAGTATTTGGGAGAATGTTTTGTTTAGTTTACTTTAGATATATGGATTCATTTGAATTTGGTGTAGATGATGTAATTTGTTTATAGACTGCTAGTTGTGCCTATTTAATTTTTAATGTTTTTTTATTGAATGTAATTTGAATATTCATATGAGAGTCACAGCTTGTTGAATAGTGTATACAGAGGACTGAAGGATTGTTACTTTTTTCTTGGACAGGTGATGTAACAGTCAAGGGCCTAGACATCATCAAAAAGTGCTCCCGTGTGTTCCTTGAGGGCTACACTTCCATAATGGAGGGTGGCGTAGAGGCCCTCCAAGAGCTCTTTGGCCATGAAATCCAGGTGGCCGACAGGGAACAAGTGGAGCAGCAGTCGGATGGCATCCTCCAGTGCACACATGAAGGGGATGTGGCCTTCCTTGTGGTTGGAGATCCATTTGGAGCCACAACACATGCAGACCTGGTTATTCGGGCCCTGGATGAGACCATCCCTGTAAATATAGTACACAATGCATCCATATTGAATGCTGTGGGATGCTGTGGCCTCCAACTGTATTCGTTTGGTGAGACTGTCTCTCTGCCTTTCTGGGACGATACTTGGCGTCCAGACAGCTACTATGACAAAATCTGTAGCAACATGGAAAACGGCTGGCATACACTGTGCCTTCTTGACATCAAGGTTAAAGAACAAAGCGTGGAGAACCTCATTAAGGGGCGGAAAGTGTATGAACCTCCAAGATACATGACAGTGGCCCAGGCAGCGACACAACTCCTGGAGATCATTAAGATGCGAGCCGATCAAGGGAAAGCAACACCTGTGACCCCCGACCAGCTTGTCATAGGCCTGGCTAGGGTAGGGACCCCCACACAGCAGCTAAAGACTTGTACCCTGGAGGAGATGGCAAAGGTTGACCTTGGGGGCCCCTTGCACTCCCTCGTGATTGTCGGGGAAACTCACCCAATGGAAGATGAGTACGTGGATATGTTTCGGTAATGGAGCTTGTGTTATGCTGGGTTGATTGTACATGTCCACAGGAAGATAAACTTTTATTTCCAGTTTTTGTTGTGGTGCAGATATTGTTGATAAAATATGTACATAATTTTTGTTTACCTTTTTTTTTATTGTTAATATATCCTTTTTTAGAAGTAACAGAGCAGGGTTGCACAAATGTGTTATTCAGTTTTTGTTAACATCTAAGAGAGTTCTATTGTTGATATAAGATTTATTATGGATGCCATAATTTCATATTTGTTAGCATTTTTGTTTGTTGCATTCTGAATTAAATAGATATATAACAGTAGATATTTAAATTCTGTTTAGTACAATAGAATCTCTTGAGAAAGGTCTTCTACACTCCACTAAACCCTTTATGCTTTTCAGTAACATTCATTCCTTATGTGCCATTTGACACTTAACTCAGTAATATATGTTAAGATAAGCTGGTAAAGTATGGTAAAGTAGATCACTAAAATACTTTAGTGTCTTATCAGGAAAAGTCTTATTTTAACATTTTGAAAAGTTCCTGAATAACAAGTGTCTCTCTACCAGTATTTTGATATCAGCAGGACTGTGACATGTTCTCGAATGTTATGTGCAATTTCTGGTTCAGGTATTACTGTTTTGACATTAGACTACTTTTGAGAATATAATACATTTTGTAAATGTTTTGTTGCTTTTGATGAGACGGTTGAAATGTGATTTATTGTGAAAGTTCAAACTGAAATATTTTTATATTTCATTTTCAGGTTTCTCAAATTGAGAATTATCTGTATATCATGGAATGTGTATAATATGAATTTGCTGTTTTTTAGGTACAATTTTTTTAAATATATGGTTTTCAGGAATTATTATTTTTATTAATGATATTTGTCCTCTACGTTTTGAATACTTGCATTTTATACTTCTTACCAAAGTTATATTATGAAATTTCTCAATGTTTATGAATATTAATTTGTGCTGAAAAAAAGTTTTTTATTCTTAGTAGCAGCTGTTTCTCAAGTTAAAAGGATTTTTAACGCGACTACAAACTGCACAATTAGCAACTGTAGCCTTCCTCTTGATGGACAGTAAAGTACAAAAAGAATTGGATGACAGAAACAAAAACGTGTGTGGTATAATTTATTAGATCTGACAACACTTCCGCTCCAATTGATATACGTAGATTAAAAAAAACACTATTGCTAAACTTATTTAATAACTGTATGAAAGTCGTTAACACATAATATGCAGGTAATATCATAGCAGTTATTACTGAGTTCAATTCTATGAAGGCCTAAAAGAAACAAATATTTCTGCTATCCACTGAAATTGCATCAAGAAATTTAGAGAAAAGAACTGACTACATTAATTTACATTTGACATAACTATAACTAAGATTATGTTCCTGATTTC